TTGTAAATTTATTCTAAGTAACTATCTATTTTTAATATTATGAAAATTTTTATAATCGCTTTTCATAATTTTTAAGTGAAATATAGAGCGAAATAGTGATGGCGTGGTCCCATGACTAATTCAATAACAATGATATCCTAATTTTCGTCTAAAAATTGTTTGTGTTAATACAAAGTAGAAAGAGTATATCTAAATTTTTGTGCTGAAAACTTTTACATAATAACAAAGACCAATTTCCCTTGCGGATTTATGAGTTTTATTGCGATTTCTGGGGTTTTTTTCGCCTTTATTTTTTTACTTCGCATTTGTATGTTACACGTTGATCTTACAATAAAAATCACGGGACCGCCAGATGTTTGCGCCATCACTATTTCTGTATTTCACTCAAATATACCTTTAACAATTTTGATTATTTAGCATAATAAAAAGAATTTATTTTTTGCTTCATACAGCCAACTTTTTCTGTAGAAAAAGTTCGTTATATAAAATTACACACGTATAAACACGAAATGACGCCCAGGAACATTATTTTGATTAGTGAATAAAGGCCGAAGATTAATTAGACAAGGATTCGAAGTTACACCCCTGCGCGTTATTTCGCACTTATACGGTACTACTGTATTGATGTTTCAAGATATGAAAAATATGCACAGCATCCTCTATCTTGCATTTTTCAATTTCAAATTAGCGGAAATAGCAATAAAATCTTTACCTGTTCATCTGAAATTGAAAAAGTAGGGTAGAGGGTGCTGTACTTATTTTCCACATTTTACAATAATAAGACCTGCGTTTATCATAATGATAACGAGTTCACGCTGAAAATATTTTGATCAATATTTACCCTATACGTAATCTGGTCCGAAATCACATGTAACCGGCAGATCTGTCCGGCTACCGTTTTTACAGGCGACGCTAGGGTTGTTCACAGGTTATTATAAAACCATAAGACAAATTCAGACTTATTTTAATATAAAATCTTGTGGAAATAATATGAAATCCTTTCAGTCAGTATTACGCATATCTGTCAGATAAATTATAGGTATATGATTATGGATATCGATAGAATAATAACAACGTACTTTCGGTCTTGTGCTTTATTATCATTCTGACAATGCCGGATAAAAATTACTGGTGAAGCAGGGCTAAAACAACATGGTAAATTCCGGTCATCCAAAGTGTCGCTCTTGATGCCCAATTGGGATGTTCTATAGAATAGGTGGGTAAACTCCGCCAATTACTAATCATCGGCGAAGCTTATTTCTTATATTGCCCACCTATTCTATAGAAAATCCCTTTTACTATAAACCCTAACCCTAAATCCTAGTCCAAATCTAAAAAAAAAAGCTTAAAAAAATATACCCAAAAAAATTTTAAAAATCGTATATGAGTGCCGCCAAGGGAAAACCTGTCATCGGACTTTCAATTATATTTTGTCTACAGTTAGCCGTCTATGGAAAATCTATCATAATAATATATTTTTCATAGATAGCTAACTGTACACAAATATAAAGTCCGATGACAGGTTTTCCCTTAGCGGCGCTCATATTAAATAGGGAGGCATAGTCCAATTGTACAATAATTTTACTGGATAATACTCAATATGCTAAATAGTAATACGTCAAAATTAAAATGTTCTATTTTAATTTGCATCAACTATGACTTACATTATTTGTAAATATGAAAATACAGTAATGTACGTCACTTTGTAACCACTTATTATTTTATATATAAATTCTTTTAAAAGGGTCCATAAAGTGACACATATTAAATTCGCAGCCAGATAAACAAGTTATTGGCTACATAGCATACAATAACAGTGTTATCTGGTGGTTTTCAATGATTTAAACTTGCAAAATAACTCAAGTTTTTTGTAAATACTCATATTAAGCTGCTAAATAAAATATTTTATGTCCAGTTAAATTATTTGGACAAATTAGACTTTGTCCAAATGTCCAAATGGTTCAAATGTCCATTATGACTGAAATTCATGACTTACCGGTAGCTTACCAAGGTAATTTTACCACAGTAACTTACCACTTACACCCTGATGATGCAGTTTCACTGATATGCAAAATTACGACAGACGACACTAATTAGCAAGCTGTATAATAAATCAAAATTTATTTATAAATGAGTATTATATAGTTTTTATAAATAGTATTGCATAAAGCCAATTTTAGTAAATTTGAACCTTTCATGTTCCTAAGACTCATTCTTTTATGTACGTATGTACATATGTAAATACGTGATGTATATGGCCTACGAATGTTATACGTATTTATGGTCACGTAAATAGAATCTCAATAATAATTCTGAAACTCCAGCTCTTATGGGCAAGACTATGTCTCATGCAATATCTTTACCGTTATTAGTGACGTGCAAGTTTTTAAAATTTCCCACACGGCATATACTTATGACAAAATATGAATGGCTGTTTTTATTGTAGCAGCTAGGAATCCTAATACTTTACAATTGAGCACGAGTTTCTATATGGTTTAATCTTATATCATTTTTAATGTATTTGTCGTAAGTGGAACAGAATTTAAGTTGATTCGGAATTTTTAAGGCTAGGGTTGGATTTTTATTATAATTATTCTGTTCTAACCTAAGTGGATTCCGAATCTATTATGATTCCATTCCAATTTACAACGTATATAATAAGATAATTTTAGGATTGTACAATAAACACAACTGCGATGATAGAATCGTAAAATGAAGCTTATAATAATACGTATAAAGTTTTAGGAATTTTTCAAAGTTTAAATCTGATTACCAATTATCTATATACATCTATCTATATATATATCTATCTATTTTATCTACTGTCTCTTGGCGTTTATTTACCAGCGGTTCAGTATGTAAGTACGTACAGTACGTACCTGCTTGCATGCTAATCGACATATTCCAGTTTTTATTATGCAGATTTTATAGAAGTACATAGAAAGGTACAAATCGGTAATTTGACGAACGTTTTGCCGAACTTACTACTCAATCTGTTTATCTTTCAAATAAATTATTCAAAGTATACTGTTTTTATAAAACTTAAATGGAACAAGCAATTCTTAATTCTTCACTAAAATCGTTATATCTTTGTAATTTTTGTGAAGTTGAAGTTGCAAAAACTTTCATTTATTAAAATTTAATTCTATATAATTAGGTCGTTCAAAGTTGATTAGTTGGTTAACCTCTTGGTTAACTGCTCCCCGAAATTAAGCAAGCCAATTAAACCATAGCAAAGACTTCATTAATCATGTGATCAAAGCTGACCAATGAAATATTCTTGGGCATATATGTGTTTGTTTAAATCTTCCCCTCTCCCCCTCGCGTCTAAACCCCAAACTGTTGACGTTGACCAACTAATTAACTTTGAGGGGCCTTAGTAATATTTAATCAAAAAATATATATATGGTGCTACGTTCTGATAATCCAAGTCAAAGAAACTTAAAGAATTCTGCAAGAAAATTCTTATACGTATAATAATATAAATTACATTACAAGAATTGAGACTCAAATGTACAAAGTAGGGATACTAAGTAATTATATTGAATCATTTTGGAAATCAAACTTTTATCCTTTAAGCAAAAACTATCTGAACCATTTGTTGTAGGATGTTAAGGTCCTACAAAGACCATGGTCCGGACCAGTCTTTTGGACCAGTCCAGCCAGTTTTCGGTCCTAAATTGAGTACCGGTTTGGACCAGTCCATAACCTATGGAATGACCTTATTGGCTAAAAAAAATAACCGTATCTATAAGTTTCAAATGTCGACCTAATTCAGTAACTTATTGATTTTTGATCGGGATTCGGTCATTGTAGTAATGCGGTAGAATTGCTCCAATGATGTTACGGCTTAAGCCGTAAATAACTAAAAACTTATGCCGCAACTAGTTATGACAAATCATTGGGATGATTCTACTGCATCACTAGGTCATTGACAATTTTTCAATTGTCCCAGGATTTACGATGATAGCTGCAAGGTCTTTTTTATATGCAGCAATCATTAGACCACATAGCTTATTTGAAACCAACCAATAGACCGATTTATGGACTGGTTTATAGACCGATCCTGGTTCGCGGTCCTCTGGCAGGGCCGGTCTTTAGACCAAGACCGGACCGTAACATCCCTACCCAAACCGCACCCTAACCCTAAATTTTAGCAAAAAATTTACCACCACTGGTTACTTAAATATATATATTTATTTATTTAAAAGAAATTTTAATAAATAAAATTCAAAATGATACCTTTGAACTAGAAGTTGGTTCAAAAAAAAGTTAATTGAACAAATAGTTGGTTCAAAAAGAGTTCAAAAAGATCTGATTCGGGTTACGTTGAACCGGAAATTGGTTCAATCAGGACTCGGTTTGGTCATGCTAAATCAGAAGTTGTTTCAAAGAGACCCGAATCGGACCATGTTGGGGTTGGTTCAAAGAACCGATATAAATAATAAATTTAAAAATTTAGACCCGTGGCAATGCCCGGGCCTGAGAGTTATTCTTTATATAACGAAAGGCATGCTTGTTTCTAAGACCACGTCTTGTGCAAGATTAACCATTTTTTATTGTTATTTGGATATGCATCTTATGCAAATAAATTTTAGTATTTTTTGAATTGGAACTTTTTTAGGTATTATTCCAAAAACTTCCGAAATAAAATACTAATCTTGAGACTTACCCTAATTTCCGGTACTCAGAGTAAAAATTCACGAATAGATGCGAAATACGATGATTCGATATTATGCAATTCGGAAAGTTATATATATTTATATTGTGAACAAAAACGGTAGTTAAACCATGCAAACGATTTAGGGTCAGTGAATGTTGATATGGAAAGAAAATTATGTTTTTCGGTGTTTCATATTTACGGTTTTGCCAATTTTTTCGCGAGCACATGAACACAACATCCTGAATATTATAAAAAAATAATCTTGAACACGTAAAGAGTATGTACATAAAATTAGTAAATTATCAATTTAAAAGTTGCTAACTAAATACACGATATATTATAGGTTGTCGATGTCTAAATAATCTGAATCACTTTCCACAGTTTCATCTGAATCATATTCAATCTTTGCTTTTTTTACATTACTATCATCTTTATAACTATCATCTTTACAACTATCATCTTTACAATTATCATTTTTATAAATCTTTTTTTCGACTTTAAAAACCTCAAAATTAATTAGTGAAAACAGAGTGGATTCATAAATTGGTGTTTTGTATGACCTAGGCGCACAAACACCAACGAACCATTGTAAATCAGATCCGAATCCTGGATTTCCAGCAGAATTCCAAATTGCATGTTTGGGGTCTTTTATACGCGAAATTATGTTTTTTATAGTCTCGCCGTTTTTTTCCATGGAAAATATAAAACTATTAAACCTCGTAGTCCAACTACTGTCGCAAATCCAATCGTCTGGATTGTAACCTCCAAGAATTTTATTTGATTCTACAATTTTAATAATTATAAGAGTAGCGCCTTGGTAGCCACAAAATTCATGGAACTTTCGGGCATTAGTCATGCCATCCCTACTTCCACGGAACAATAGGTTAAAGTCATAAGGTATGTCTGTTGGTAAATATGGTTCTGAATTATCATCAATCCATGCTGCGATCTGACCGAATTCATTTGTATCCATAAGAACTGAATCAATAGAAGTAAGAGTCGCATGATCTAAAATATTAGCAAATGATCCATTGGGCTCATTTTTAGTAGTACGTGATGGAAGTTTACAGAATTTCTTTGGAGGAACTTGGGCAAAGAAATAATCTTTAATTTCTTCTTTTAATTCTTTTGGAAGAATTTTTTTATACGGACGAATCTTTGTTCTATGATCTATTCCAGAAATGCTGAAAAATCTAATATGCGGGATTAGGTTATTAACAGCTTTTTTTAATCTGATAAAATCTCGATTGGTCCATTGTGATACGTCTGTATTTAATTTAATTTGCGCCATTCCCCAACGAATAACCGATTCCCAAATCAAAATCTCATCGAGAACTATGTCGTCTCTTTTGAATAAGGAAATTAAGAAATCTGCTTCCAATTCAAGAAAACCGTCTGTGTTCAAAATTGAGGCTGGGTTCGTATTGAAAATCTCTTGACATAAGCTTTCAAGTCTTGTAAAAGTTTTTGATCTTGCGGTTATTTGAAGTATTTTAAAGAAATTATCGCGTATCCAATCAATTTCATGAGAAATAAGATATTCTTGCATATTTTCGGTTAATTCAGAGAGTACTAATTCATCTGCGGCAGTTAAAAGATCAAGGTAGATGGATTTGACCGTTGTGTCACTCAAATTAATGGAACCGTTATAGATATAGCTGATTTATAAAGAATTTAAGCCTTTAAAATAAATATTTTACAACAAATACATATGAAAGCATCTACGATAGGGAGGAAAAGATGCAAACCCTAAAAGAACTTTGAACGCACAAGGTGAGATACTTGGTAATAACAATACACATTCATTATTTTTCTCACCCCATTTTTTGGATGACAAGATCGATCGAAAATAAGATGATCTAGCATGCAGTATTAACAAATGAGCTCTAAAACTATCAATTTCGGGATGTTGGCCAACCTGTAGCACTACGTCATAACCTTCGGATTCGTTAGATAAATTTTTAATATCACGTAAAAGAGCACTTTCTAACGATATCATTTTTGGTTCTCAAACTATTGATGGATTGAAAGGAAGAAAAATAAATTTACGGCCAACCACGTTCAGACAACAAAATTAATCAAAGTAATAGCTAGCTTTTGTCCTGTTTTTGTGGCTATGTGTTATTATTATTTTAAGGTAATAATGGCCAGTTACAGATGGATTTGATCGATCATTAATATACAAAATAATCAAATACAGTATAGACTTAAAAATAATTGATCAAACAGCCTCATCAAACAATGCCCTCAGAGATATCCCTGACATCATTAAAAATCTTATTTATGCCTGATTAATCTGCAGTGGCTGCAAGCTTGTTCTGTCTGATTGATTATATTTTTACCCCGTTCATCGGCCTTAAAAAAATGGCTTTTTTTGTTCCTTCCGTTCTCGCCGATATGCTTTCCTTAGACTAAAATGGCATCAAAAACAAAAGCTTCATTTTATCGTCTTGTAAAGGACGTGAATATTAGATTGTCATGTATGATTATGTAGCTATGCCACAATTCTGAGACCAGCCTGTTCCAAAATGTGACTGTATTGGTTATGTTGCAATTCATCGAAAGCCACTTCCCGTAGACCTATTAATGGAATGTTTGAACCAAGCATAAAAGACAATATTAACATCAAAATCATTACGTAGTGGCATAAATGATTAACTGATACGTCGCATGTGGAATATCTATAGATTGGAATCCATTTTAAGTGCCTTAAAACAAGTAGGAATTGAATATCAAGTAATTATTATATTTTTAATAATAAAAACTACACTATATATAATATACATTAAGGTTCCGCATGGGTCGGGCGGGCTGGGCGGATATTCGAAATTCCATTGCGGCGAATTTATGAAACTCGGGTACCTTGACTAGACTATGAAGTGCGTCATTTACTATTTGTTTTTGACATT